TCTGAACCTTGCACCATCCTGACAACCTCTGAGAGAGCACCAGCGTGGTTACCCTGTCAGTCCATCTGGTTGGGAGTCCATCCTTCCTACCTGCTAACCACAGTTTTGAACACTTTTCACGCTATTTCATAAGCTTGAGATATCCCTAAGTGGTATGTGTACTGGACCCATTTTACAGAAGGGAATATTGAGACTCGGGAATGTGAAAGAGTTTACTTCATGGCCAAGAATTCACAGGCCCAAGTAGAACCAGAATGGAAACACTCTGAGGTCCCTCCGAGCCCACGCTCTAGACTACACGGCACTGCACACTGCACCGTGAAAAAGTCACCACCGCGAGCCCCAGGCACCAGCCCCTTCTTGTTCACAGGGTCGCCTCACAGGACATAGGACTATCTTCGTACATAAATGTTTCATCGGGGGAGCTCTGGTGGCCTAGTGGCAAGAAGCTACACTGCAATCCCAGAGGAACACGGTTCGAATCCACCAGATGCTCTGCCAGAGAAGGAGGGACAATCTCCTCCTGTACCAGTCAGATCTGATTTGACGGTACACGCACACAAAATAATAAAATTTAAAAAAAAAAATGTTTCCTCAGAGAAAACACTTGCAGTCACATCCTATCTGTACAGATGGGAAGTGGATCAGAACCCTCCAGAGAGGAATGTCCAGCCTCTGGACAATGCTCTGAACTCTCCATCTGGACCCCAGCCCCTGGACAACACTCAGTTCTCTCCACCTGAACCCGCAGTCCGTGAACAACGCTCAGTTCTCTCCAGCTGGACCACAGCCCCTGGACAATACTCAGTTCTCTCCAGCTGGACCCGCAGCCCCTGGACAACACTCAGCTCTTACTGCTGGAGTTCCTCAGGCCACTCATTCAAGCTCTTCCAGTGCCGTTGCAAACTCCTACAGACTGGGGAGTAATGGACTTCTCAGAGGGACACCCCAACAGGCCATCTGCATAACTGGGGCTCTAGAAGCCTCCTCTGAGTGAGGAACTACTGCAGCCAGAGTGGGTGAGAGATGCCTGCATCTCAGCCGAAGCCTTCATGGGGTACATGTTCAGAATCCCCTCAACTCTCAGACTCGGCCTCGGGAAGGAGGTGACGGACAACAGCCAATACTGCGGGCTGCCTGTATCTTAAATCAAACCACCAGCAACTCGACAGCTGATGACAATTCAAGTGCCAGAGGTTACACGTGTTTATGTGTGCGTGTGGATACGTATCCATCTGGGTGCTAACCAAAAGGTGGGCAGTTTGAATCTACCAGCCACTCCAGGAAAGACAGGGCAGGCAACTTCTGTAAAGATTCCCAACCAATCTGGGCATCAAGTCAGTTCTAACTAATGACAACACTGTAAATCTATTCACGGGAGGGAACTGCCTCAGCCTTCTCCCCGAGTGGCTGGTGGACCCGAACTGCCCATGTTCAGTCAGAAGTCCAACACATTATGCACTATGCCGCCAGGGCCCCCTCCCTTTACATTACAGCCTTGGACACCCGGGTGGCAGTTCTCTGAGCTGTAGGGAGTGCCCATGCACGTGTGAGCAGACAATCTCATACGGAGCTGTATGAACGCATGTGTCACCATGGGCAGCCACCAGTCAGTCCCTGGCTCACGGGACCTCATGCACAACAGAACAAGACGCTGCCCTGTCACACGCCATGTCACGCTCCACTGCTGACTGGCCCACTGGGATCCAGGGCCTCCCTGGTTGGTTTCTGTAAGTAGACAACTACCAGGCCTTTTCTCCTAGTCTGAAAGCTCCACTGAAATCTGTCAACACCATTCGAGGCACACGGGCTGAACAGAAGCCCGAGGAGACAATGTGAAAGGTGGGAAATCTCCCTCTGGACACTGCATGAACACACATACACCTCGGTTCCCTCCACAGGCCGACGGATAAAGCCAAGCTTCTGAAGTCTAGGAGCTGGCACAAACCCACCACCATCAAGTCCAGTCCACTCACAGCAGCTCTGCGGGGCGAGGTGGACCTGCTCCACAGGCTGTCCCCGGCTGGAACCCTGTGGAAGCAGGCTGTCCCATCATTCTCCCATGGAGCGGCTGGCAGGGTTAAAAGGACAGGCCAAGGATCAAGTAAATTGCTCAGTACTACTGAAAGGCCTCTGATAAAAGCTAGTATCTATGATTCGAACCAGATGCCCTGCTGGAGAAGGAGGGACAATGTCCTCCTGTACCAGTCAGATCCGATTTGACGGTACATTCACAAAAAATAATAAAATAAAATTTAAAAAGTCAGTATCTATTTTCAGAAAAATTCTTTTTAATACGAGAATGTGTTTCTCCCAAAAAATGTTATGCACCATGGAATTAGAACCTACACCTAGCTGACCCTACAACAGGTTTTCAGAGGCAGTAAATGCACAGGAGGAGATTGCCTGTCTTTTCTGGTGGCTTTAAACTATGTGCCTTTGGGTTGGCAGTGCTCTTCCTTCCACCAGACCACCAGAGCTCCGGCTTTCAAAGCAACATAACACTTTTATTTAACAGAAGGCTTGAAAGTGCAAGAACTTTGCGGTACTGGAGTCAGGCAAAGTGCTTAATTACCATGCTCCGGGGCTGGGAGTGAGCAGAAGGTGTGCGAGTAGGATCTTCTTCTTTCTGGTATACTAATGCAGCTGTTACTGTATACCATCCAGTCAGAACTGAACCACGGCTGACCCTACAGCAGGTTTTCAGAGGTAGTTAATCACACAGGAGGAGTCTGCCTATCTATCTCCTGCAGAGCAGCTGGTGGATTTGAATCATATGCCTTTGGGACTGCAACTGCACAGCAATGCTGTTGTAAGGTGCAGTCAATGACGACTCACTCAGGGTGAGCCTGTGAACAACAGGTAAACCTCTCCCTAGCCAGCAACATCATCACAATCTCTGCCACGCTCAGGTCCACTGCTGCAATCACTGTGCCACTCCGTCTTGTTGAGGGTCGTCTTCTCTTTCTGCGACCCTCCACTTTTTCCAGCATGATGTCTTTTTCACCATCCCTGCCTCTAAGGAGGACCCTAGTTACATTTCCTCCAAGACACAGTAGAGGTATACTAACGAGGTCACACAAGTAACACTCTGTACTAAGTGTTCCCAAAATACCAGAACATATGCCAACCAAGCTTCCTCTTCCAGGCACCAGGGGTTGGCACCCTTTCAGGAATGTGCCAAGTGGTTAAGTCCTGTTCTCTGGAGGAACCCAAGCTCACGTGAGTGGTGGTGAAGGGGAGCTCATGGTCAGTGGAGGGAGGTGCAGGGAGTATCCTCTGCGGGGGTAAAAGGTGGTCTGGAGTCCATCCATTAAATATAAACAGTGTTATCTAACAAGCAAGTCCCTGGATGTCACAAATGGTTTGTGCTGACTACTAATCTAACGGCAAAGTTAGTGGTTAAAAACCATGCAGTAGCGCTGCAGAAGAGAGGTCTGGCTATCTCTGCTTCCACAAGATGACAGCCCAGTCATCTCAGAGCTCACTTCTGCTCTGAAAACCCAAGAGGTTACAATGAATGGAGACCACCTGGAGGACAGGAGGCCTGAGTAGTTGTATCATCAGGGCACTTACTCTTATCAAAAGCTCAGACTTTCAAGCTAAAGGGCTTTCATTTACCTAACAAAATAGCTAGCCAGATTCTCCAAATGTCACAGCCTGTCTTCTTAGACCATCCAGCTAATGAGAAATTGTCTGGATCAATCTAGAGGCCAAGGGGAGACGTAGCTAGAAGTGCCACAGAGCAAAGTACTCAAGCAAATGCTTTACCCAAGGGTCACACGCAAAATGAGGGCAACAGATGCCGAGGGGGTGGCAGCTGGTCCAACAGCGCTCTCCCTAACTGCCCCAGGGTCTCTGGGCAGCCAAGAGTGACAGAAACCTTGTCCCTTCTAAGCCTTTCCTACTTACTGCCCTTAGGCAGCACATCACAGCAAGTGGGGGTCTTCTCCCTTCCTTATCTTCTATCTCCAGCAATGACGTGGCATTACAGTCAACCAATCAACATTCAAGAGCGGCAGAAATGGAACTGTCCAGAAAATGCTCCAGACCAATGATTAAACAGGCTGGCCACCTAAGCACAGGAGCCAGAGCAAAATTAAACACATCAGCGGAGCCAGCAAGCTGCCCAGCCCCACACACACCCCCTCCGCCAGCGGGCAGGCGGCTTTTTTCTTTCTTCTTTATTTAACCGCTTCTCCCAGTTTGGAAGAACCTGACAGCAGCTTTTTAACATGTATCTTACTCCCTGGGACCAACTGAAACCTGATGCTAACCTACCACGAGGAGAAACCTGTAGTTAGGCGCTAGCCACCCCATCCATTCCCCAGGTCCAGGGCCCCGGCTGTACGCGGGTCTCTCAAAGGTCCTGTCCTGCTACATCAGTCCCAGTCACAGACGGAAACTGCAGGGTTTAAAACTGATGAATCCACAGCCATGCTTAGGAGGTGGGGGTCGGCAGCGAAACTAGGCCAACAGGGACAGGTCTGAGACCTGTGTGGGGATCGAACACAGAGCTATGCAGAGGCCTTTCCAAGTCTCTCTCCATCTTTACAGCGCCCCATTCACCTCATTTCAGGCCAAGAAACTGTTTTTCTACTTGGAGAGTCTAACGGCGAGGCAAGAGGGCCTGGAAGGGAAGAGGGGAGACGCTGGCGAAGAGAGGCTGCAACTCGAAATGCTGGGAAACGTGGGGCTGCAGACTAGGGCGCAAGAGACCTGGCGCGCGCTCCCCTCGGGACCCACCCATGTCCCCTCCCCGAGGGTGCGTGGGGGCGACGCATCGCGGGGCACCTCGAGGGACCCTGGCCCCCAAGGAGTGTGTCCCGATTGCCCTCCACCCCCATGACACGCACCCTAACCTCCTGGTCCACGCGCGCCCCGTCCCCTCGCCTGTCTCCACGTCGTCCTCCATCCCGCGGTCCCCGGGGCGTCCGCGGATCGCCCAGCCCCTGGGGGCCCTAGTCCCCGTTCCCGGGCGCCTGGCCCGACCGCGTTACCTCGGAGGCCCGGGCTGTCGTCCCTGGCCCGAATCTTGCGGATCTTGACCGGGCGCCCGCTCAGCGTGGCCAAGACAAGCCGCTGGCGCAAGAAGTTGCAGCCCGTGTAGGCGAGGGAGTGCGCCGGGGCGGCCATGGGTACGTCCTCCGCGGGCGCGGCGCTCGGAACGGCGCAGGCTTCGGAGGGGCGGCGGCGTCAGCCGTGGCAGCGGCCCGGTCTCCCTCCCGCACCCGCGGCCCCGGCGCGTCCACGTGGTTTGGAACAGGAAGACGGAGCGACGAGACACCGGGTCAGAGGGGAGCGGGGCGGGGCCGGCCTCCCCGCCCGGCCGGGCCGGGCCTCCATTGGCCTCAGCGGGCTCAGGGCGGGGCCTGGGCCACACAGCTATTGGTCCGCTCTGGAACTGGGCGGGGCCATCGCCGAACTGTCATTGGTCCGCACTGGAACCGGGCGGGGCCTGAGCCTCGGCAACAGCGCGCGGCTGGAGGGAGCGCGGGAGGGTGGTCCAGGCGCGGAGGAGAGCGAGATGCGACGAGTCCGCTGCATCACCTGGGCTGGGAGGTGGGCGTCCCTGCCTGCTGGCTGAGTGTCGCTGCTGCGGATCCCCCGAGGTGAGGATCGAGTCGCCTACTCGCCTTTCTCTTAGAGTTGAGGACAGACGCGCTTATCCAGTTGCAGGCGCGAAGCTGAGCGCATTGCAGACTCAGTTGTCTCTGCCCTGACATGCACACGTGAAAGGACTCGGGGAAAGAGGCACCAAGCTGGAGGTCGCCCTCGGATCCAAGTCTTCCAACCCTGGGCTCGTTCTTGCCTCGATTTACACGCTCACTGGGTCCTTTCATTTACATAAACCACGTTGCCATGGAGTTAGGCGTGACTCCTAACTGACACTCCATTGAGTTTCTGAAGCTGGAGTTTGCAGATTCCTCAACTCTTCCCCTCAAAGCCACTGGTAGATTCGAACCGCCAGAGAGGCACGGCTTTGGGGTTAGCAGCACAGCTGCCTAAGACTTTGCCACTAGGGTTCCATTTATTTTCGCATTTCACAGTAAGGCACTCACTTTAGTGCAGTTTCACGTCTACACTAGTCACTTCAACCTGCCCAGCAGCACCCAAAGGCCTGACTATCTACTTCTGTAAAGATCGTTGTTCTTGTAGCCTGCAAGTCAGTGTCTACTCACAGCGAACTCATGAGACAGAGCAGAGCTGCTCCACAGGCCGTAAACTCCAGGAGCACATCCTCAGTCTTGTGAATTTGAACCTTTGACCTTTCAGAGAGCAGTGGAGTGCCTAACCCATTCAGAGCTCCTGGCAGGAGAAAACGGACTCAAGGCACTCTGTTCTACTGTAACTGGGTGGCTATGAATCAGAATCCACTCTTACAACAACCTTTTGGGACTCTTCTACCTCCGGCGCCTCGACTTAGATCAAACTCAAGGAAACTGCCACCAGGCAAGTCCGGCTCTCAGCAACCTTCCATCAGGTTTTGTTGTTGTTGTTGTGTACTGTAGAGTCGGAGCTGACCCTCCTGCGAGTTTTCAGAGGCAATTAATCGTATGGGAGGAGATTGCTCATCCTTCTCCCACGGAGCGTCTGGTGGCCTCAAACCACGTACCTTCGGGATTGCAGCACAGCTTCTTGGCACTAGGTCACCAGCGCTCCCTTCCATCAATCGTTACCTGTCTTCCTCTTGTAGAGCAGCTGGTCTCAGCAATCCTCAAAGAAGCACTGATTTTTAAAATTTGAGAAGGGAAGGTCTAAGACATTGAAGGGCCTGCCTCAAGTGACACAACTACTGAATGGCAGAACTAGAAATAGAAACCCCATCTGTTTCTCTCATCTCTCTTGGGACATAAATCTTTGGAAGCCTGAACTGCAGGCGAGAAGTCTGGTTACAAGGAAGCTACGTGGAAAAGCCAGGTGCCAAAGGACCATATTGTATGGTCTCATTTTCTATGTATGGTCCAGAGCAGGCAAATCCACACAGAAAGGGGACTCTTACTTGCTAGAAGATTGGGGTTTGGGGACTTGGGAGGTCCAGAGTTTATTTTAGGGATGATTTAAATGCTCTGGGGTTAGGGAAGTCATGATAGTCACTTGACATTGTAAATACACTAGAAACCACTGGTTTATTTACTTGCAGTTGTTGTTGAGAGCCATTGAGTCATAACCGCTCCATAGCTGACCCGGACAGTTTTTCAGAGGCATTTAATAACACAGGAGATATTTGAAATGAGTTTTGTGTTACGCATACTTAATATCCAAAGAAAAAGTAATTGGAAGATTTTTTAAAAGAATGAAATTATATCCAGTCTAATTTTCAAAATATAACAAAGGTTAGAAGAATATTTGTTTAGTAAGAAAATGGAATATCACCAGTGTAAATTTTTTACCATGAGCTAACTTCTAATTAAAAGTTGCTACATTTGACACTTCCATGAAAATCTTGGATTAGACTTGTATTTTTGTGACATTAAATTACATTTAAAAATTAAGACAATTAAATGAAAAATAATTGCTGCATACACTTAAGGCCAAGAATACACAGGCCACTCCAGGCAGGAGAAAGGGCTCAGTTGTCAGAATTCCTTCTCTCTGTACAGCAGGCAACCTTAAAAATAGAATTTTCCCCCGTCATTGTGATATATGCTCACGGTGATTGAGGAGATAGATGTCTCTTTTTCTTTCCTCATTTCAGATTTCGTGATCTTTTTCAGTGCCTTCCAGCATGGAATTATGTTACTCTATTTAAAGCAAGCCATATGGGCAAAGCCAGGGTGTCCAGTATAAATAACAGAGTGATGATGATTTTTATTATACCGATTCTATATCTAATAGCCCTAAATATGTTGTCATGTGTGCCACCACGTTGATCCTGACTCATGGTGACTTCGAAGGACAGAATAGAAGTGCCGCAGAGTGTTACCAAAGCTGCGTTCTTGATGGAAGCCGACTGCCCCATCCTTCCGCAGAACAGCTTGGTGGGTAAATTTCCGAGCACAGCTTACCTTTCTGTTCTGTGCCTCACAGGGAGACAAGATGCAGCGAGAGCACAGTTTCCCTAGCTTGTGCTAAACTAGATGTCTGACTGGAGGACTGAAGACTAAAGAGGAGAAAATGGGCCCGGGGACCACAGGACCATGAGAGGCTCCCTGAAACGGCCAGAGTGTGAACATAGCACAGCCCTTCACCACCGCTGAGCAGAAAGCAGATCTGGAGCCAGGAGCCCAGCCCGGTGGTGCCTGTAGAGCCCCAACCCCAGCAAGACATTTATTTGTTTGCTTGTTGGGGATTCACACACAGACTCACAGGATTGATGCCAACAGTGGGGTTTATTAGGGAAGGATGTTGGAGAGTGAGGGAGGCAAAGAATATCACAATGTCACCCAAAGTTAAGTTCAAGGTTTAGCTCAACTATTCCAATGAACAACTCCTCAGTTATTCCAGGTTCCAGCTTCAAATTCACAATCAGCTTTTCCTTCCATCATCAAAGGCAAAAACACCAAAATCCAACTGTGGTCAGTATAAATGCAAGAAACCTCAGGTCACACCTTCCCACAGTTTTCCCACAACAATGCCACAGTCTCTCCACCAACTGGGTCTCACTCTCACTTGTTGCCACAGTTCTTCCTCACCTCAAGTCTTTTCTCTCCTGAAGTCTTGCTGCTCAGTGTGGGAAGCACTCTTTCATTTCTCCTAATACCATAGCTGATGCTGATTTGCAAGATCATGTGTCTGTAATTAACGTAGCTGGACACCAGAGGGCCTAACTAATGGCTAAAAAAAAAAGCCAACTTTTCATCTAGCACCACAACCAATCACTGCTCTGCTGGTGAGAGGGAGAAAGGAGTAATCTTGGAATTTTTAAAACTTTTAGTATTTGCTTGGCATGCTTGAGATCTTGGAGTTCAGAAAGGTAATGACCTTTTAAAAAAATTAAAGATAGTTGTTGCTGTTATGTACCATCGAGTTGCTTGTGACATTATGTATAACAGCCTTATCCTGGTCTATCCTGAGGCAACCTTATTGTCTCTGACACACCTACCCACATTACTCCAGTGACTGAATCAATGTATTTCATCAAGGGTCTTCCTCTCTTGTGCTGTCCCTCCACCTTCCCAAGCATGCTGATGTCCCTCTCCAAGGACTGGTCCCTCCTTGCAATATGCCCAGAGTATGCCAGATAAAGCTTCAGAATTCTTGGCTCTGAGGAGCAGCCTGGTTTCACCCTCTCTAGGACGAACCTGATTGTTCTCCTAGCAGTTCATGGTATATTCAATACTCTTCTCCAACACCACAGTTCAGACATTAATTCTCCTTCTATCATCCCAAATCATTGTCTAGCTTTCTGACGCATAGCTAGTAATTGCAAAGACTATAGCCTGAATCAGGCACACCTTAGTCTCCAGACTGACATTGTTATTCTTCAGTACTCTGGAGAGGTCTGTAACAGCAGACTTTCTCCATTTGTCTCTTTATTTCCTGGCTGCTGGTATCAAAAGAGTATTAATTGTGGAGCCAAGCAAGCTGAAGCTGTTAACAATCTCAGTCTCTTCTTCACTATCATGATGTTACCAATTGGACCAGTGGTAAAATCTGTTTTTTTAATGATGAGCTTCAATCCATATTTAAGACTGCAGGCCTTGACCTGCAACAAGCGCTTCAGATGCTCCTCAGTTTCAGCTAGCAGGCTTGTATCATCTGCATAACACAGATTGTTGATGTGTCTTTCTCCAGTCCTGATGCCACACTCCTCCTCATAGAGTCCAGCCTCTGGATGATGTATTCTGCATATAGATTGAACAGGTGTGGCGATAGGACACATTGTACCATACACCATCCCAATTTTGAACCATGCAGTATTTCCTTGCTCTGTTTTGATGACTGCCTCTTGGTCCAAGTATATGTTTAACATAAGCACAATCAAGTGTTCTGGGATTCCCATTCTTCTCAGAGTCAGCCACAGTTTGTTGTGATCCACACAGTCAAATGCCTTTGCACAGTCAATAAAACAGAGATAGACATTCTTCTGGTACTCTCCGATTTCAGCCAAGATCTGTCTAACATTAACTATAATATCCCTAGTACCACAGCCTCTTCTCTTTTGATGTGCTGTTCCAGTTGTTTTTGGATAA